TTTTTTTTTTTTTTTTTTTTTTTTTTTTTTTTTTTTTTTTTTTTTTTTTTTTTTTTTTTTTTTTTTTTTTGTTGAAATTTACATTTACGAGGAGTCGAACAAAATTAAAATAACTAAAAGATCTTTTCAAATGTGTTCATATGATTCTTAACACGGGTTAGTTTAGGGTTTAGGGTTTGGGTTGAAATTTTGTAAAATTGAACGGGAGTTGATTTCGGAGTTGTCAGTTTTTCTGTTTACCAATACAAAAAGAGAGTTACAACTAATCCAATCTTAGTTTATTTTTAAGATTTTTAATAATGTTTGAGATTTGTTAGGGATATTAGTAATTTATTTTATTTCACTCTTCTAAATAAAAATATTTGATTATTTGGTCAATTTTAAACAACATAGCAAATTATTACCGCTAAAATATAATATTCTATTTCAAAATAGAAGGATTAAATTAAAACCGAGTTTCATTCCAAAGTTTTGATAATAAGGTCAATGGTATACACTCGTATATCAATAATCACATTACTCCTCAACTCGATTCTATTCCCTCTAGTCATCATAGATAACTAATTTTTTACACCGTACCCTTTACAAACATTAATCCAAGACCCACCAACCACGTCTTAAAAAGACGAATAAGAATAAGTCATTCGCATACTTGTATGTCCCCCTCCATCTTTATTGATTAAATTGTTAAAGCGCCCAGTTCATAATTGACGAATTTGTAGGTTCTCCTACCAGATGGACACCAATAAATTGTAAATCTAGTCGGAAAGTTATAATTCATTTACTTCAATTTTTTAATAAATAATATATAATTCATATTTTATGGACTAAATCACTCAATTATAACTTTTTCGAACCACAAAAACTAAGTTTACAATTTGAGCTGTAATTAAATTTATATAAAAAGGCTTATAATAACATGTGGCCTATTAGCTCAGTTGGTCAGAGCGTCGTGCTAATAACGCGAAGGTCGCAGGTTCGAAACCTGTATGGGCCATCTCTTTTTTGTTTTCATTTCATGATTACTTAAATAGCCAATAATGATGTAACACGTGTGCAAGTGGGCTCAGTAACCATTTTGGATTGGTTTCAAATATTTTCCAAACTAACTATTTTTTTGTTCAATAAAAATTTTATTAGGTTTACTAAATTGCATGAAATTTTACCTTACTTCATATAAGTGCCGAGAAATTAATACTCAAATTGAAATTAGTGAAAGGTATTAGTAAATTATATTAAATTGTTTTAATAAATTCATCTTTAAACCTAACTATCTTGAAAAAATACTAATGGAACGTCAACATGTCAGTGAAAAATGCACTATTATTTACGTGTAGCTTGGGTGAAGGCCAAAAAAGGCTCAATTTTAAAGAGCTCAAACAATCCATATAAGGTATTACGATACTAACAAGAGGACAATGACATCGACGTCACAACCTATATATATGGATGAGGGGACAACCTTAAATTTGATGGTATTCACCGGGCCTAGACAACCTTAATTGCTTCGATGTATTGCAGGATTAAACTTACCTTTTTTGTTTTCATAAATTCGCATTCATTAAAGTTTTATATTTGCAAGTAACTCTCATAGGAGGAGTAAAATATAGGTTAAAAGTTGACCATTTGGGTCAATCCAATATAATTTCAGGGAAGCCGACGAACCCGAGTCTATAAAATTTTTAATTATTTGAATTTTAAGTCGTTAAATTTATAATTGAGTTTATGAACCCTAATTGATAAATGGGCGTGGATTTGGGCCACAATGAATGAATAAAGGAGTGTTTTTTTTTTCATATTTATTGGTTGCACCACGCGCCAATGACTGCGAACGGAATAAGATTTCATTCATAGTTCAGAGCTCCGAGAGGAAGAAAAATCCTATCTGGAAATAGGAACGAACAATATTCATATTCTCTTAATTTCTTTTTCCCATTCTCCGATCAAATTCCGGCCGTCGTTTCAGAAACTTGGCTTTCATTTTCATGGTGGAGCTCTATAACAATTTAAATTTTGATTAACTAACCCAGAAAGTTCCCAAAGGGAAATTTCTCGACCAGTAATTTTGAGGGCGGAATTCGTTTGTTTCTCGTTTTCTTAAGGAATATTCCTCGTGGGTTCTTTTTAATTTATTGTTTCAGTGCCATTCGGATTCCTGAAACGATCGGTTGAAGCTTTTGTTGAGGATCGAATCAGATCTGTTCTGTGTTATTTGGGTTTTGTTTCGAAAATTTTCCTAATGGATTATGACGATTTTGCTTTTCCTTCACTGGGTTTTCTCTGTAATTTCTAGCGTTTTCTTTTTCTTCTCCGAATCTCGAAGTGAATGTTGAAACTGTAATCGTTTTCGCTGCTTCTTATTGGGCGGATTAACTTTCTCAATCGCTGATTATTCTAATCGGACTCTTTACAAAATGGTTCGATTGGATTTAGATGATTTCCGGACCATACTTGATACAGCCGGCGTCGATGTTTGGACCTTCATCGATACAGCTATGGAGGTCGCTTCAATGGATTACGGCAATCAATTGAAAAATCGAAGAGATGGAATCGTCGAGAGGCTCTATACGTTGACCTCGCATCCGTCGCGATGTCGGAACTGCGATACGGATCGCCACCCCGACGGCCGCTCTAATGGCTGTGAAATCAAACAGAGCTTCGCCGAGGCGAAGGAAGGTTCCCCTTCGACGCCGCAGTTCGTCGGAGTTGAAGGGGACGACGATAGAGTAGACCCATATGGCGGTTCGTTTGATGATGAACAGAAGAAGGTTTTAGAAATTAAGGAGCAGCTCGAAATTCCTCACCAGGTCTTCTTCCTCTCTGATTGTTTGGCCTTTGGGGATTCTTTTCTGAACTTACCAATTTGGTGATTGTTTGTCTTGTTTAAGCCTGAAGATGCTTTGGTTGATCTGCTTCAAAACTTGGCAGACATGGATATCACATTCCAAGCTCTTAAGGTTTCTGTTGCTGTAATTCTTTTGAATTTGTGGGTTCTGTTGCTTTCTTCTTCTCTGTTTCTTACCTGTTCTTGTTCTTGTTTAGGAAACTGATATTGGAAGGCATGTGAATCGGTTAAGGAAGCATTCATCTAATGATGTTCGTAGATTGGTGAAACATCTTGTCAGGTTCATAACAATTTATATATGAATTCATGACCGATGCTTGGTGAATTTCTGCTCATTTGTGTGTTTTTCATCAGGAAATGGAAGGATATTGTGGATGAATGGGTCAGGTTGAATCAGCCAGGGGAGCAGACAGCTTCATTAATTGGTATCAAATAAGAACATCATTCATAACTTCATGTTTCAATTCCTTCAGACATGATTTAGAACTCAAAAATTTAGCTAAGAAAGGTTTCTACTGCCATTCACAGCTGATGGCGACTCACCTCAACAAAAACTTCCTCAAAATGGTTACCATCAGGTGAATTGAAATCATTAATCTTATGATTCTAATGTTTGTGTTCTTTTGTAGAAAAAGCTTGAAATCTTTCTTCTTTTTTATAGGTTCCTGATTTCGCATACTCTCCGAATCCTCACAGTGAGTATCGAATTCAAATCATACGCGAACTTCTTGTTTCATTTGCCATCGCTTACTTACTATGGATTTCATTGTGTTCTTAGATGGAAGTTCTGGGTCGGATCGAAATAACTCAGAGCCAGAACTGAAAGGAAAGCCTATGCCAAGACGAGACGCTCCGCCTAAACCAGCACAACCAGCTTCAACGTCGTCTTTAACTCCTCAAAACGTATGGTAACCAAATTAGAGTCGTTTAACTCTACGTTTGGTTGCCAAAAGTGGAGGATGAAAATTGAACTTTCGAATCTTATGCTTCCGAAAACATAACAAACTTAACTCAAACTGCATCAATTGTGTTGAAATTTGACAAATTTGAGTGGTATGTCTGAATTTTCTCGGGTCCTAGATGATATGATATGATATGATATGATATGCACGGTCTTACTTAGATTACAGTCTGCCAGTTCTTATTTTCGTTAAGAAGGTGTTCTTATTATGTGTTATTTGCAGAAACATAAAGAACAACAGAAGGAAGCAAATTTTGATTCACAAAAGCTTGCTTCAGCTAGAAAAAGGCTTCAAGAGAATTACAAAGAAGCTGAAAATGGTTTGGTTACACCTTTCTTTTTCTTCCCTTTTACTTCATATTCTGATTCCTTGGGAACAAATCAATACTAATTACTGTTTGTCTGTTGCTCTTATTGAAGCTAAAAGGCAAAGAACAATCCAAGTCATGGACATCCATGACTTACCAAAGCCAAAGAATACCTTCTTCTCAAAGAATAAAGGCGGCGGCGGTGGCGGCGGCGGCTCTCAAGGCAGGCACTGGTGATATTTGGCAAAGCAGCAACATGTTCTGCAATATTAGGTGTTCTGTTATCATCACCCCTTACATCATTTGATCATTGAATTTTTAACTTTCTCTATTAAGTTTAAAAGAGAACCAAAATCTACTTTTTTTCAGGTAAATTTGGTTATAATAAGCAATGCTATTATTGATATTGTTCATCTGGAAGCTCTGAGTGTTTATATGCAATGCTAATGTTGAAGCTTCCTGTTATATGCAATGTGGGGTTTGTCTGGTTTGGATCATTAGTCACCCACCTTTGACCTTTGAAAAGGAAAAGGTTACTTAAGTTGGGGGGCCAGCCACATGGGGGGTTGTGTATGTGGATGGGGATTGGTTTGTTTGGCTTGTAAGTGCTTTCTCTTTGCTTGCTTCATATAATATTGTATGGAAACATGGGGCTTGGCCCAACATAAACAAAGGCTGGTTTTTCTTCATGGAAAAAGCTTTTACTTCTCAAGGGTGTGGGGTAGGTTCAAAGTTCTTATCTTCAACATCTTTAGGATTAGCTCAAGTTGGGTTTTCCCTTTCAGGATTCTCCTCGAAGTTTTGTTTGTTAGGAAGAGATTTTCACACCTTTACAGAGAATGTTTCGTTTTCCTCCACAACCAATGTGTGGTGGTGGGGCCCAACGTCCTTGCCCGCACTCATTTGTCTCCAATTGATGTGGGACCTCCCAAATCTACCCTTGTGGCCCAATGTCCTTGCTGGCACACCGCCCCTCGTGTCCACCCCTTTGTTGCTTAGCCTCCTCGCTGACACATCACCCAGTGTCTGGCTCTGATACCATTTGTAATATTTCCCAAGCCCACTGCTATCATATATTGCCCTATTTAGATTTTTTCTTTCGGGCTTCCCTTCGACTAGGTAGAAGTTTCCATACCCTTATAATAAATGCTTCGTTCTCCTCTCAATCAATGTGAGATCTTACAATAAGCTTTTGTGTTCTTGACTGCGGTAGAGTGGATCGAAACACACAGTAAGATGAGGAGAGGAGGATCTTTCTACTGTCTAGTTACTTTGTTTCTTTTCCTAGGTAAGTAATGCATATAAAGAACAACAGAGGCATGAAAATGACTGATAAAGAAAGAAGTGGGGGATGACAGACAACAACACCAGGTGTAGGGGAGATGGGTAAGCTAAATGGGTGTCTTTTCAGTGGTTTTTTGCTGTTGGGTATGGGAAAAGAAGAAGAGAAGTTCAGAAATTTGGGAAGAGAAGTGTAAATATGAGGAATTTATAAGGCAAATTGAGTGTAGTGTAGTGGGTGGGGTTTGGTTGGAGCCGCCATTGTTGACTATCTGTAATGTTTTTGTTAATAAGTTGCTTTCCAAACAAATGATAATACTCCAAAAAAAAGTTGCCATTTTTTATAAATGAAAGTTGAGAAAGTAACAGGAAAAATGTACGGTCAAAGTCAACAGGAAACAATTAATAAAAGGTGTGACTGTATTTTAGAGGAATATTCTAACATTTTACTTTTAATATTTTAATTAAATTTCTTTCATTATATTTTTAAATACAATTTTTTATGCTAAATTAAAAAAAAAAAAAATAGAAACATATTTAATAAAATAAGAAAAATATATTTAATTACATTTTTCATAAATAACGAAAATATAAAAAAAATTCTATGATTTTTTCATCTTCTAACCAATGAGTGTAACACTCGAATAAAAGAGGAGTCAATGAATTAGCCGGCACCACATTTGTAGGAGATCATGAGGGAGTATATCGTGTATATTCCTTTTCAGAGACTCGATTATAAGAATTCCAAAATTAAGTGCGTTTTTTTTTTTATAGTAATGGGTAACTTTCCTCTTATAGGTCGGGCGTTTTAGTAGTATTCACTTTTAAAAGCGATGAGTAACTAATATGACCATGTTGCAAGGAGGAATACAAAAGAATGTCCATCTTTTTGAAATAAACTTCATTGCAAATGTTATCTGTTTTAACCCGTAGTGTCGGCAACCGCACAGTTTTAAAACACATCTACTAAGAAGAGGTTGCCACACCATTGTAAACAATGCTTTATTTCTCTCCCCAACTGATATGAAATCTCACAAATAGTGTTCATCAATCTGGAGGTTCGTATCTAAGTCAAGTCAAGCACTCTTGTTTAGAACACAACTTTAATCATATTTTTAAGACTCATTTCTAAGCAATACAATTGTTTGAAAATGGTACGTCTATTTCACATTCTAGAACACCACCCTAACCTCAATTCCTCTCCAACCCTTTAATCTTTCTAACTTTTTTTTTAGGTAAACCTCTTTTAAAATCCATGTTTACATGCAATGGCCCGCCGGCAACATGGAAAACATTGGTCCAACATTATCACAAAAAAGAATGACAAAGATTGGGTAAACAACCTCTGTAGTTTTGGTTAGCAGCCACGTTCGGAATAGGAAGTGTCCTTGTTCTTGTTCTTGTTTTTTGGTCGACTTTCTTAAAGTAGTTCAATCATTCTCAACCTCATACATGACTCATACATCTTTAAAAAAGTATGTAAAGTCTCAATCTTTTCTAAAAGAAGTTGTTTTTGAGTTCCCATGTTTGAGAATGCTAGCCAATTTCATGTCTTATATAGTTGCATGCTAAAGAATGGAACGAAACATTTCTTATAAGAGTGTGAAAACCTTTTTTTCTAATAGACGCGTTTAAAACCGTGTGACAGACGACAATACGTAATGAATCAAAGCGAACAATACCCACTAGCGATGGGATTGTGATCTGAGTAATATTCTTCAAATCTTGACAATTGAGAATTGGTTGGGAGTTTCCCTTAATAATGCATGAAGTTTCTTTTTCTTTTTATGTAATTTCTTAGAAGATATGATTAAATTATTGTTTATGGTTTAAGAAAGTTTAATGTAAATGTTTTTGACATTCATAAAACATGGGGAAGACACCAAAAAAAACATGGGGAAGGTCATGTTCTAAGAGGTTAGCTGATTAAACCTGACCAACTTTGCTTAGTGGTGACAAGAAAATAAATTAAAGTTGTTTGGTCGAAGTTGTTAATGTTTTGGACATAAAAAATAGACACTTGATGGTATTATTATATATTTGTTTGTTGTATAGTGAAAGTTCATATCTTTAGATTTTAATATATAGTTTCTTTTTTCCTTAGTGAATGAATGACGTATTGATGCAATCTCTGTGCCTATTAGCAAAGCATATGAACCAAGAGCATATAATTATCGGAAAATAATTATCGCCCTCATAAGTTTAAGTTATGTACCTTCTTTGTAACTTTCGAATTTGATACCATTTGTAATCGTCCAAGCCCACCGCTAGCAAATATTGTCTGTTTTGGCTCGTTACGCATTGCCGTCAGCCTCATGGTTTTAAATGCGTCTATTAGGGAAAAGTTTCCACACCCTTATAAGAAATGTTTCGTTCTCATTTCCAACCGACGTGGGATCTCACAAAGTTCTTTAACGAACACATTCACACTCGGACCAGTTAGAAACAAAAGGAAGGAGATAAGTTTGAAACATGATGAGATCGATCAAACCCATTAGTGAAAAGACTTAAAAAAAAAAAAAGAAAGATGAAAGTTGAAGAATCATTTTAAAAAGAAAGACAACAAATCTTTGTCTTTGCATTTGTTGGTCAACAAATGTTATGCAAAGTAAAGGTAGCTTTTTTAATCAGTTTAGTTTGGTAGAGAAGGATCTCCATGATATTCTCATTTTCTTTTTGTTTATTTTTTAAAAATTAACTTTCTTTACCTCATTTTATTCTTTATTTTTAAAAAATTTCTTTCGTAAGAAAAATTATTAATTTGAGCTCGTGTTAAATATATTTTTAATAGAATAACAGTTAATTATGAATAGTTGGTTCGTAGAGGCACAATATCTATAACTCAAAAATGTGAATAGATCTGAAAATATTATTAAAAACAATAGTGAATTAAAAATGAGAAATAGAATTGGGATCGAAACTTCAATTTTCATTGATATTCATAGAATACAAGCAACAAACTAATAACTACAAAAATATAAACTAATTAAATCTTGAGAATAAAATAAAATATGCTACTCATCAAATCATAAAGTTAAAATATAAATGATATATTTTATAATTAATATATTATCAAAATATTAACTAATTATGAATATCTTGACTAATTCAATAAGTTACACTAAATTTTAACACGAAGGAAGTCGTATATATTAAATTACCATTAATTTTCGAAGTCTTTTGAATGGAAGCTAAAACAAGTAAGATTCATTATGATAAAAAAAAAGATAAAAGAAGATTCAAGTCCTCAAGTAAAGTTTTAATTAATTACACTTTAATAATAATAGGCGATTATTAATGGTCTATGTGCACTTATGACTCATAGTTGATTAACTAAGTTATATGACTTTTAACAAATAAAGGAAGCATTGAAACTGTTTAAACTTCTGACCTCAAAATAAAAAAAAATGGCATAACTTTGTGTTGATTTATGTGGATATTTTTACTCTTAAGAAGCGAGTAGTAGGTAACATGACTACGTCGCATGAGATGCAAAGGAATATCAGGACCATCAGTGAGAATGTTTGCATAATCCACAACACATCAATGGTGTGAAAGTTATCTTATTTATAATCAAATAAATTACAAGGATATGAAAAGAGTAATAAACGGAAATAACAATAAATGGAAAGATACATGTGGTAAGAAGCCTTATAATAAAATATCAAATATAATATATATGGTAAACTAAAATTGATTACTAAATATCCTTAACAACTAGGATCGAATCTTAAAATTTAAAGTTAAGATTATAACTGAAAGACTATATCTAAACCACCTCGACTCCACCTCTATCAAGACCTGAGTACATGTCTCCATCAAATGAATTTTGTTAGGATGGTATTGTTTACGAGACAAATGTGTTTGTGTTTGAAGTTTGAGATCTAAAGCGCGAAAATTGATACAACTTAACAACAACTCACTATTATTATTTCGTTAAATGATTGATTGAATGGTTCATTAAGTTCTAGGGTTCAAAATGAATGTGTTAGGCAGACAATGGGTAGTAGGGAAAACAGGCGGCTTCAAAGCTCAGCCTGTTTTGGAGGGCGAGAGGACATCAAAAAAGAACCCAAAAGAAGCTAAGTGGCATATACAAACTGCCCATTAACAAGAAAGAAAGAAGAATGGTTAATTAATTATATAAAGTGCATTACTTTGTGTGCGTTCATTCAGCTCCCTTTTCCCCCTCCGCCCCTTATTTAAAGGCTTCCTGACATGATCAACACACCAACCTATCATTCGCTATGGGTTTAAACAAGCCTTATGTTGCTGCATTCTTCATCCAAATCACCTTCGCCGGAATGAGCCTCATGTCCAAGGCTGCCTTTGCTGCTGGTATGAACACTTACATCTTCCTCTTCTATCGTCAAGCTGCTGGTACCATCGTCTTGGTCCCTCTCACTTTCATCTTAAAAGGGTACGTCAAAGTTTGTTTCTTTCTCTTTTTTACTATAAGGTCTCGTATCGATTGGAGAGAGGGAACGAAGCTCTCCTTATAAGGATGTGAAAACCTCTCCCTAGTAGACATGTATTATAATTGTGAGGCTAGTATCGATATGTAACGGGTCAATATGGATCATATATGCTAGCGGTATACTTTGACTGTTACAAATGGTATTAGGGTCAGACACTAGGCGGTGTACCAACAAGTACGTTGGGCCCAAGGAAGGTGGATTGTAAGGTCCCACATCGGTTGGAGAGGGGAATTGTTAAGGATAGTTTCTTTTATTGTTCTTTCCATATTATTTGTAATTTATCATAATTCTCTATACGGTAAATGATTATAAATAGACAACTTTACGTGTGGGCAAACAATATCTCCTTGTACTTCTACGTTTACTCATTTTTAAATGCTTTTAGAGTTGTCGAGAATAATACAACTTTTTTTGTTTGATGTATTTAAGGAAGGAGAAGCGACCATTGACTTTCAAGCAACTCTGCGAGATTTTTGTCATTTCATCGATCGGGTGTGTATTATTATTATTATTATTATTATTATTCTTAATAAATAGGATGACTTATTATTATTTATTATCTAATGGGTTTAGGATTACTCTTGCATTGGATGCTTATGGAATGGCGATTAATTACACGTCAGCAACTCTTGGTGCTGCAGCATTTAACTGTGTTCCTGTCACAACGTTCTTCTTCGCCGTCTTATTAAGGTCATTTTAAATATTAATAATGATGAATATTTTATGACAAATTTATAGTAATTGCGTTTATTTTATTTTCCCTTCTAACCTTTTTTTTTTTTTTTTTTATAAAGTTTTTAACACCACTTTTGGATTCGACACCTGATGGCTCCAATATTTTTCTATATTTTCTACGACATGGTCACACGTTCCTCGCTTCTTAAAAGTGAAGATTATCTCTATAAACCAATATAAATCCTTCTAACATGTTTTGTTCTCTCTCAATTGCATCAAGAAAAATTCTTAAGAGGTCACTTAACATAGAATTGCTCAAAGTAAAACTCACTTAACTTTAGAGTTCCTAAGATTGAGCTTACCGAAAACGAAAAAAAAGGTGCACCTTATTAGTATATATATATATCTATAGTAACTTTCATTCTCTTTAAACCTTTTTTTAGGCTTCCTATCCTTAGGACCATTCCTACAGTGGTCTCGGTTCATTTATGTGTCTCTTCTTAACTCTTTCAAAATTAGGTCTATTGGTTTGATCTCAACATTTTCGTTTGTCAATCTATATTTAAAAAGGTTTTATACACGTATAAGTTCGACATACATTTTACGTACACAGAATGGAGATGGTGAACTTAAAGACAGCGGGAGGAATTGCAAAGGTGGTGGGCATAATGGTATGCATGGCTGGTGCAGCCATTCTTGCTTTCTACAAAGGCCCCTACTTGAAGCCACTTTTCACTCACCAACTATTCCACCATGCCCAATCCCAACCTCACCACCCTCCTAACTCCCAAAGCACATGGATGATCGGCTGTTTCTTCCTCCTCGTCACGAGTATCTCTTGGGGCATATGGTTCGTCCTCCAGGTAAATTTCCTCCAAGTTTAGTCTCTAAACTTTCATGTCTCGCCTTTTGGTTCTAACAATGGGTGCACCATTCGAGCGCAGGCTCGGTTCTTAAAGGGATACCCTCACCTAATGGAGTTCATGTGCGTGCAAACCGTGATGAGTATGGTTCAGTCCTTCGTCGTAGCCATAGCTATGGAAAGAGACCCTTTGGAGTGGAAATTGGGGTGGAATGTTAGGCTCTTTGCCGTACTCTATTGTGTAAGCCAAAAAAACACACTTCTTTGCTCTCTTAATTTGGTGTTTATGATATGAAGAAGAGTTATGAACATTGCGTGCAGGGCATTTTGGTAATTGGAATTGCAAATAATGGGCAATGTTGGGTAATCAGAGAGAAGGGTCCAGTTTTTCAAGCCATGACAACGCCGTTGAATTTAATAGCAACAATCATTGGTTCCCAGCTAATCTTGTCGGAAGGAATTTACTTAGGAAGGTAATTAAGATCAATTTTGACTTTTTTTTTTTTTTAATCTATTTCAAAATAATAATAATAATAATAATAATATATTTGGTTTGACAGTATAATAGGTGCATGCTTCTTGGTGATGAGTCTTTACAGTGTTTTGTGGGGAAAAAACAAAGAGCTAGGAGCTACTTCAAGCAGTCAACCAGCTCCACTAGAGAAAGAGATAGAAGAGTTGACATCTCGAGCTCAAGTCAACTCCTCAATAATCTAATCCAAGACTAGATTTCCTCATTTATTGTGTGATTATATGCTTTTTCTCATGATATTCATTAGGTTTTCTTTTTCCTATACTATTTTGTTTTCGAGATATTAAACCTTTTAAATAACTAACTTCTTAATTAAAAAAATTTAAACTCGAGCTATGGTAACTGTATAAGTGATCGATCGATTAATGATGGAAAATCTATAATCATTACATTATCTCGACCAATACTGATTCTTTCAACATGTTTTCTCTTCACTCACATGTTTTTTTTTTTTAGGAAATCATGCTTAACTTTGAAGTTTTATCATTTGGACGTGATTTCGATTCATTTATGTACATCTCTTTTACTCGAGCATTACAAGTAAAAAAAAAAAAAAACGTTTTAATTTATAAACTTGATGATATGGTTAGAACGAGAGATGTTGATATGGTCACTGTGGCGATATTGATGACACGTAAGTTTTCATGATGACGTGGTCCCATTTAAGTTGTTATAGAAATAGGGTAGCGAAAAAATAAAAATATCTTAATGATGAAAAGATGTTTATGTGAATGTTTGGAAAAGATGATAGAGTAGATAGAGTACTTTTCTAAGATTTAATTAGCATTATTATACTTCAATTTGTTATTATTACAACAATTCAAGGTCAACTTGTTTGTCATGTTTTTAAAAAATGTACATAAATAAAATTTTAAGAATTAAAAACAACTTTTAAAAAGGATTATTATAAATATAAAATTTAACTGTTGATTAACAATTGTAAAGTAATTAATTTTATTCTTATTTATTTTATTCCGATTTTTGGAATTTATATTGAGAATTTAATATCTCCTTAAGACTTTAATTAAAGTTTACAAAAGCTAAACTTTTATCTAAAATTTTGGAGAGAGGAAAAAAAAAATAAAAAATAAAAAATAAAAACCCTATTATCATCTTCTTCACTCTCCTCTCCCTAAGGCTCAACCACCCATGTTGATGATCTTCTTCGACGAGCGGGGCTCGTTTTATTTGGCCAAGCACTGATCTAATTACAACGTGAACTTGTCTCGATTGATGAGAGTTTGTCTAGTATAGATTGATTTAAGGTCACTCTCTATTAAGGAAGCGGATAACGCATAAAAATGAACTTGTGTAGATTGGTAGGATTCACATTCCTACTTTTGATGATATCGGTTGGTAGAGGGTCATTCCTAGAGATGATCGAACCTTAGACGCCATGAAATGACCTTAGATATTTTCATACGATTGCGCTTTGATACCTTGAGATGACCTTACGTACCTTAACATCACGAGGACTGCTCCTGTAACAACCTAAAAAAATAATGATAAATGTATTTTGTATTTTATGTGTGGTGTGTTTGATGATAATAATAATAATAATAATAATAATAACAATAACAATAATAATAATAATAATAATAATAATAATAATAATAATAATAAAAAATAAATAAATAAATAAAAACGAAACGAAGCAGCTGCGTCAAGCAGCTGCTGTAAAGGGGGGATGAGGGGCGGCGGACGCGTAGCTGGAGGCGTGGGATGGATGAGTGGATGATTAGAGGATGTGAAAGTGTGTTAAGGCTGGATTAAGCTTTAAAAAGGAAGAAAAAAACGAAGAATGGTGATTAGCGAAAAACCCAGAAAAACAGAGGAGGAAATTTTGAGAATTCGAGTTTTGGTTGCTTAAAATTCGACATCAATCGAGGGTAAAGGAAGAGGGGTTGTTGCTGAGGAATCATTTGAGGAAGGGGATACGGCCACGAGCTGAATCGGACGGTGATTCGAAGGTAACGAAAAACCCATATCACCGAACCTTCAAATCTCGATATCTTGATTCACACTACATAATAAGTTATGAAATAAGGTTTGTTAGAACCGTAGTTAGAAGATCTATAAAGTTGTAGAAGAAATCAGAACGAAATTCGAGCTGTAGAGATGAAATTTTTGCTTCGGGACACAACGGGTATTAAAGAAAAAGATTGGGAAAAATTGCAGGGAGGAGAGGTTGAAGACGAGCGCGTGAAGGACACGCGAGGCGCGTGGGAGGCCGCGAGTGGATGTGCGACCGCGGATCAGGCGCGTGAGAAAACGAACCCCCGACCTTGTATTGGCGCGTGAGGGCGCGTGAGAAGGTATTTTGGCTCCCGGTTTGTCCCGTTCGACTCCTTTTGACCTGTCCTATCAAAACTGATCTATACTTATGTTGAAATCGATAAAATATAGGTCTAATAGGAAGGAATTGTGTTGAAATACTATTAAACGTACATTCAAGGGGGAAAAGGAGTTCGCAACCAAGTAAGTAGCGTATCGACCTTTGAACTAGTTCTTAACTTGTTTTACAACATGTGAGTATGTTGTTTACCTGATTAAGAGCTTAATAAGTTATGATGAACTTTGATGATATTTAGTGTTTATTGTATATTGTGACTGCTTGCCTGTGATGTAAGCGTGATATAAATGATTGTCAGAATGTTCTACGTGTTGATCATGATACATGTATGGAAGCATGCAGTAACTGTGAGTATGTTATGCATGTTAATGGAAAGGTTATGACTCTAGATATGCTTATTGGTGGTTGAGCTATGACTTATTTACTGAGTAGTCTACTAATTCCCGCGGAGTTCCTGGCCAACGCGCTGTGTGCTAAGTCAGGGAGCATGAGTACTCCTGACCGTTGGTATATGAGATAAACAGGCCGCCAGAGCAATTAGTAGACGGGTCGTATTTGACCGAGAGCGAGTCTTACATACGAGTCCGAAAATTCTAGATAAGCATATTGAGAGAGAGTCAGTAACCTAGCTGAAGGTAGCTGAGATACCTCATTAACGAACAGATGACCCTAGTAAAAGAACTAGGAGTCAGTGATGAATAAAACGTAAAAACACCTAGAAAGATTAGTTATGAACCCGTGAATGATAAGCTAGCTACTTACTGAGTAATCTAATTACTCATCAGAATTATTATAACTTTTCTTTCCAGATGTAGATGCTGCAGGCCAGCCGAGGACGAGACCAGCGGGCTAGAGACTACTGGGAATCCATGTCTGGGTCTGTTATGTAATTATGTTTCCGTTGTCAAGAATTTACTTAGTCGTTTTAAGTTTTGTTTAAAAGTACTGTTTTTTTTAAAATATTTTACTGGATGTTTTTTAGAAATACTTTGAAT